TCACAAATAACATTACTTTCTTCTCGTGATCAAAACAACCATAGTCGCGATCGTACCAACAATAATCACAGTGGTCGTGGGGGTCGCTCTACATTTCATCAATATGAGTCATCCTACAACCCAAATCGCGGGGGTTATGGTCGCGGTGGTCGTAATCGTTATGGTCCAGGTGTTCTTGGACAACACCCTTCCACCACCACACCTCCTATTCAACGTCAAATTTGTTTTAAAAATGGCCACAGTGCTTCCATATGTTACCAACGATATCGCAATCCTTATACAACAGAGGACGATCTCTCTTCTACCTTTGCCGGAATATAAATAGCTTCACAAGTCGATCCCAATTGGTATCCTGATACTGGTGCCACTAACCATATGACTGGTGATCCTCGTTCCATGACAAATAAGTCTGATTATGTCGGCACCGATCAAGTTCTCTTGGGTAATGGTGATTCTCTTCCAATTGCGCACATTGGTAGTATATCCCTTCCTACTAGTTCCTCTCTTATACAACTTTCACATGTCCTTCATGTTCCTAATATGTCTAAAAATCTTCTATCCATTGCTCAGTTCACCAAAGATAATTCTGCTAGCTTTATCTTTTTTCCATGGGGTTTTGAAATTCGTGATTTACGAACTGGTGTTGTTTTGTTTCAGGGCCGATGTGAAGATGGTCTGTACCCTATTAAGCCCTCTTATGTCTCCCAACATGCTCTCACAGCCTCTTGTTCATCATCTACAACTTGGCATCAACGTTTAGGACATCCATCCAATAAAGTGCTTCAAGTCTTGGCATCTAATAAAGCTTTAGGCTCTGTTTTTCATTTTTCTCGCTCTACATTTTGTAGTCACTGTGCTTTGGGAAAGTCTACGCGGCTTCCCTTTTCCACTCATAAACATCGTAGTGATGCACCATTTAATTTACTTCATTCTGATGTATGGATGTCTCCCGTTTCTTCTGTCTCTGGTTTTACATATTATGTCTTGTTTATGGATGATTATACCCGATATTCATGGATATTTCCTATGCGACATAAATCTGAAGTTTTTACTCATTTTCAACATTTTCTTGCTTTTGTTGAAAATTATTTTTCCACATCTATTAAAATTTTGCAAAATAATGGTGGTAAAGAATGTGATAACACCTCATTTCATACTTTATGTGCGCAAAAAGGGATACACCATCAGTTATCATGCCCTCATACTCCACAACAAAATGGTCTTGCAGAACGAAAACATCGACATATTTCATAAATGGGTCGCACTTTACTTCTAGTCTCCCATCTCCCTCAAAATTTATGGGTTAAAGCCATTTGTACTGCTGTATATCTGATTAACAGACTCCCAACCCAACTCCTCCACTGGTCCTCTCCATTTCAGAGGCTCTTTGCCACTGATCCTGATTACCTCTCACTCCGTACCTTTGGTTGTGCATGCTACCCTTATCTTGGTAATTATACAACTGAAAAATTACAACCAAGATCTATTGCCTGTGTTTTTATTGGTTACAGCAATCGTCATAAATGATATCGGTGTCTGCATCCTCCTACTGGACGTGTCTATATTTCAAGGCATGTGTTATTTAATGAGGCAGAATTTCCATTTGCCTCCTCTTAATCATCTACTGGTCCACCCTCTACATCAGATATGGTTTTTATTCCAGTTATCTCGCTGACTCCACCTGCTGCTATCTCACCACCAAAGCCATCACCAACTCAAGCACCGACCAATACAGTTCCTTCTCCGGCGCCACCTTCACCACAAGATGTTGTTTTTTCATCAAGTGTGGAGGCCTTTACTGACATAACCACTCAACATACTATGTCGGAATACCCTCCATCGGCCAAACCACACTCATCATCGAATTCTTCTAATAATGTACATCTTATGAGAACGAGAGCCAAGGATGGAATTTTCAAACCCAAACAACGGGCAGATTTTGCTACTCGTCATCCGATTCCACAAGCTTTTTCCACCTTGCTCACCTCATCCGATGTAGAGCCAACTTATTACACTCAAGCCATTCGCTCCGCGAAATGGCGCAATGCCATGAACGAAAAATTCAATGCTCTTCTCAATTAACACACTTGGTCTCTTGTCCCGCCGCCACCTAATGTCAATATTGTTGGGTGTAAATGAGTTTTCAAGCTAAAACAACGATCTGATGGCAGTATTGAGTGCTACAAAGCGCGTCTCGTTGCTAAAGGCTTTCATTAGCAAGCTGGCATAGACTATGGTGAGACTTTCAGCCTTGTAGTCAAGCCCACCACGATTCGCACAGTTCTTACTGTTGCTGTATCTAATGCATGGCCTATTCACCAATTGGATGTCAAAAATGCCTTTCTTCATGGTTCTCTTACTGAGGAGGTGTATATGACTCAACCACCCGGGTTTGTAGATTCTAGTCGCCCTCATCACATTTGCAAACTCCATAAAGCCATTTACGGTTTAAAGCAAACACCCAGGGCCTGGTTTCAACGGTTTAGTTGTTTCATTCTCTCTTATGGTTTTGTACAAATCAAAGTCGACAACTCTATGTTCACTTTTCATCGCAACTCCCAAGTCATGGTCCTCCTTCTCTATGTGGACGACATCATTCTTACAGGAAATACTCCTTCTCTCATTCATTCCTTCACCCAAACACTAGGGGCTGAATTTGAAATTAAAGACCTCGGGTAACTTCACTATTTTTTGGGTATTGAAGTTACTCATTTTTCACAAGGGCTGCATCTCTCTCAAAATAAATACACACTAGATATCCTTCGCCAAAGTAAACTCCTTGATAGCAAACCTTGTGCTACACCTGTTGCTGCCAAATCTCAACTCTCTCTTTCTTCTAGAACTTTATTGGCTGATCTTACTGAGTATCGACATTTAGTTGGCTCTCTCCAATACCTTACCCTTACTCGTCCACACATCGCCTACGCTGTCCAAAGCGTTGCTCAATTCATGAGTCAGCTTCGTACTTCTCATTTGGAAGCTGTTAAGAGAATTCTTCGCTATCTTAAAGTTTCCCTTGGCTGCGGTCTTCCCATACGCCGTTCCAACATCCCGACATGTTTGACTGCCTTTTCTGATGCCGATTGGGCCGGTTGCCCAGATACTCGTCGGGCCCTAATTTAATCTCTTGGTGTGCCAAGAAACAATTGACAGTCTCCCGCTTTAGTGCCAAAGCTGAATATCGTGCACTTGCCTATACTTGTGCTGACACGGTTTGACAGTCTCTTGCAGGAACTTTGTCTTCCCTTTATCTCTCCAACTGTAATTTATTGTGATAACCTAAGTGCCACCTACATGGCTGCCAATCCAGTGTTTCATGCACGCACTAAACATATTGAATTAGACTATCACTTTGTCCATGAACGTGTTGCAACCCGCACTCATCGAATTCAGTTTGTGTCTTCGAAGGACCAACTTGCTGATATATTTACCAAAGGATTACCCAAGCAGCGCTTCTCACATCTCAGTTCCAAACTCGTCTTGCCTCCGTCGTCACGTTTGCGGGGGGATATTGGATGAATATTCTAGTCTCCATGAATTATGGAATTACACAATATAAATTAAGGAGAAATATATGAGATTACACACTGTAAATTAGGAGTGTATAGCTAGCTGTTATAATTCTTAGATTGCTTTAATCATGGGATATGTTTCCTTTTTCAGTTGTACTCTACTGTATATATACATGTGAGAGCAATACAAGAAAGTATGAAATTCTCTGCAACCTTTCAATTTACTTTATGAAGCAAGGAATTCCACGATTCAAATAAATTTCTACATAGATATATGAAGCAAGGAATTCCTTGGTTCCAAGAATTTCTATACAGCATATATATTTGTAAAGCAAGCAGTCACATGCATTATACTCATGAGATATATACTTTTCTAAAGCAAGCTAGCTCCAGCAATCAAGGAATATTTCAAAGCAACTTTAACTCCAACCAAGTACATGATATTTCAAAGCAACTTTGCTTAGCAGTCTATCTTATATGAACCCCATTATAATGTATAACGTCTCTGAAGCCAACTTATCTGAATTTTGAGGTTTTCTAACTAACTTTTTTGGATTTTGGAGTTCTGTGTTGTCCCGAAGCACTACATAACACAAAATCAAACAAGAAAATATGTAACGGAAACAAAACAAAAAACCACACACGATACTGAACGTGGATATTGAACATGTTAAGGGAAAATTTTAAAAAATAAAAACTAAAAATAAATTAACCAAAATGTTACAAGTGGACTCAATAACATTAAAGTTTTTATTTATAGCATTTTCACATTTGTTTATCCTTTTCCTGTTTGAGGCTTATTTATTCAGTATCTCTAGCATCTTTTGCAAGGATATAAAGATTGGAGTTCGAATCATGATCAACCTGACTATAGATAGTTTGGAATCAAACTGTGAGTTGCATAAGTTGTTAAACCCATATAATTTTATCCACTCATTTGTAAAGTTCAAGCAACACATTTGCAATTTTATTTTCATTTTTTTTGGGAAAGTGTTCTGTGAGCATTTTTAACAAATAAACAAATAAAATTGCTCCTCTAAAGTGGAGTCTAATACGGAGTAGTAGTATTTTTGAGGTAACTGTAAAGTGTGAAAGTACAAAATTGGATTATGAATGGCTGGTTCAACAAATACCTGGGTCTTCCAGCTTTTGTGGGCAAGTCCATAATTGACACATTTAAGTAGCTGATTCATAGAGTTAGCTCTCGCGTCAAACTCACCATAGGTGACCTTCTCTCCAAAGCAGGCCGGTGAAATCAGTTTTATCTACCCTTACTACTTACACCATGTCTTGTTTCAAGCTCCCCATTAGCACTTGTACTTCTCTTAATAGTAATCTCATGCATTTCTGCTTTGACTCGGTATTTCTTCCGTGGGCTAAACAATGGCAGCAATTACTTCGAGTTGTGGAAACCACTCCCCAATGGCAAGCTCCTCATTCTTATACTGACAAATTTGGAAATTTGGCAATGAGTTGAGTTTCAATACCATGTCTTGGGATCCTAAGGACATACTCGACGGTGCAATGTCCAATTTCAACGAATTATCTGAAATCTTTAACTTGGATCTCTCTTTCCAATCCCATCTCCATCCTTCTCCATCTCGTTCTCTATCTCGGTGGATCCCTCCAATTGAATGTGAACGCTTCTTTCTCCATTTCTACCAGGTCTGTAGGAGGGTGGCTTCATTCTTCGTGACTATGGAGATCAGGCTATCAAAGCAGCCTCTATTTTTTTCTTGCGGAATATTTCTAACCCTGAAGTTGCCGAATCTCATGCCCTAAGAGAGGGCCCTTCTCTCCTCATCAATTGGGGTAGGTTATGATCAGGTTGCGATCAGCTTAACCTCTCTCCAACCCACTGCTTGTCTAAGGGTCCGTTTGGCTGGACCGTGATGGAAGAAAAAGATAACAGAAGGAAATGAAATGTAACGTAAAGAGTAATGCTTGCATCCTGCGCAGGGAGGATGAAGTGGCCACACTCCCTACTGACACCTGTCCAACATTAAAAAAATATTAAAACATGGGTAGTATCCATTTGTGCGGGTTAAACCCGTTTCTCCTTCATCTCTTCCCCCCTCTCTGAATACCTAAACTATATGCGCCGCAACAGACCCCATATGATCTGAGAGAGAAATTCAACGACGTGGGTGGTTTTATAGTCAAAAACAAAGCCGCCATGCGTGATCGAGCTCCAAATGAATGGTTGAACCCTGTTCTTCCAATCTGCAAATTCTGTCATAAACAGGGCAGTAATGTCAAACCAGTGATTGCGGAGAAGAAGAGAGAGATCAGTTGGCTGTTCTTGCTTCTGGGTCAGATGATTGGGTGTTGTAATCTCACACAGTTGAAGTATTTCTGCAAACACACCAACCATCATCGATCAGGTGCCAAAGATCGAGTTCTCTATCTCACTTATCTTGGACTCTGCAAACAGCTTCAACCCAATGGCCCTTTTGATCCTTATTGATCCAAGATTCATCATATATTTTTAAGGAATTAATAATTGTTGGTTTCAAGTTTCAAGTTTCAAGTTTATGGGTATATATAGATCTGAATTGGGGAATAGCATAGAAGATTATGCTTCAGCGATTCACGCTCTTGGGTTGGGATCTGATGTGCACTAAAATGAAAAAATGCCATTACTAATTAAAAAATGCTCTTGGGTTGACATCAGCGCCGAATTGGAACTGGATCGGAGCCCTAACGCCTTCTTGACCTTGGAAGCAGCAGTGGAAGTAAGCGATCGCTGCGTTGACGGTGAGCTAGATGGCGAGCTGGACAGCGACGACAGCGAGGGGATGGGATCGGTCGGAGTTGAAGGAATTGGTAGGAATGTAGATGAGAGGCTTCCCGGTGGAGGTGCGGCAAGCGGCGACGAAGATCTCCGGAGGTCGGTGGCGGAGAGAGTGGACGTGAGGTCGCCGAATGGGGAGGGGAGAACGAAGGTGGTGGCGGTAACGGCGGCGGCGGTGTGGCTGAAGTGGGAGCTGGTTGTTCCGGGCATGCTCTCTCTCTCTCTCTTGGATTGGCGGAAGAGAGAGGAGAGAGAGAGAGCAGGGGGAGGGAGAGAGAACAGATTAGTGCCAAGGAGAAACGGGTTTAAACCGTACAAATGGGTATTACCCATATTTTAATATTTTTAATGTTGGACAGATATCAGCAGACAGTGTGCCCACGTCAGTCCCCTGCACAGGATGCAAGTATTACTTTAACGTCAAAAGAAAGAAAATGGAGGGATTTGGTTAGTTTTTTTTTTTTTTTTTTTTCGGAAAGTAGGATTTGGTTAGTTTTGTTATCTCATTAAAATTGGAAAGAAATAGGAGGAGTGGCAATAATTTTCAATGAAACTTTATTATTATTTATTTATTTTTTATTTTTATTGAAGACAAAACTTATAAAAATGAATATGATAAATAAACTCATTAAAATAAAATTTTTTTTTTTTCAAACATAATTATTATTATTTTATTCTATTTCTTAATCAACTAAATACAATAAGAGTTAATAATATCTCTCATTTCCTTTCCATGCTTTTCTTTGTTATACTCCCTACTTCTGTTCTTTTCTTTTTCACTATACGCCTAAGAGATTATGGTAACTTTGATTGCTATAGGAGGTGCAATTCCTAGGGCTCATTATCAGCAAATGGGCTCTGAAATCGGGGTGATCTGCAATGGCCAATTTGGGCCAGTTGGTACCATTTTTTTTTTTAACTAATTCATAAACAGCTGGAGTAGCTCACAACAAACAAGCATGAAACTTTATGGAGCTCTCTATACTTACTTTTCGAAACCATTCTATCTGAACAATTCTAAGAGCCTTCACATGAAAAAATGTTAATGTTATTTCATGCATGAAGCATGGTCGTCGGACATTATATAAAGTTTGTTTTTGCACGAAGTTTGGTATGATTTGACTCCGCATAATTTGTATGAATCGTGACTATAATACTATATTATAAGATTATTTTATTTTAAGTTTATTTTATTTTTGAAAGGATGAGATTTTTTATTGGGGATGTATTATGGAATTAGAAAATTGAGATATGGGAGAAAATTAAACATATGAAATTTTCAAACCTCACAATATAATTTTTACCATCTCCAGTGAGAAGGAACAGTGGTTGCCAGTGGTAATAGATTTTTTCAAGTGTCAATAATTGGTTGCGGATTTTTAGATTAGCATAAGAGTTTCATTTTTTAAAATTTTTTATTTACCATCTTTTTTTTCCTTTTTTTTTTCACCATTTACAAATTTTGAGATTCTCCCACTCTAATGGTCAATAAAAAGAACATATCTCAAGTGAGACACGGTTTCATCCTAATTTTTTACCCTGCCTCAGAAAAAATTATTTTATGCATGGAGCATGGTTGTCGGACATTATGTAAAGTGTGTTTGCGTACAAAGGGTGGAAATAGGTTTTGATGCTGTGACTAAATGGGATATTTTTGTATGAAGTTTGGTATGATTTGACACCACAAAATTGGCATGAATCGTGAGTATAATACTATAAAGATTATTTTATTTTAAGTCTATTATTTTATTTTTGACAGGATGATATTTTTTATTTGGAATGTATTAAGGAATTACAAAATTGAGATGTGGGAGAAAATTAAACATATGAATTTTTTCAAAACTCAATAATTGATTTCTGGTATTGATTTTTGGAGTGTATAAGAGAGAAAGTTAGATAATGTGATACAAAGTCGAGAAGTGGTTCTCTGAAAATACATACTTAACGAATATAAGTATTAGATATCTTTATGTACTTTGATTGAATTATAAACTTGTATTATTGATTGAAATATATTAAGATTTTCTCAAAATTATTATTATTATTATTATTATTTACCAAATTTTGATGTTTACACACATTTACATTAATTAGATTAAGATAAAAATGTCATTATTATTATTATTATTTTGTTACCATTTACCAAATTTTAATCTTTACCCACATCTACATTGTGATAAGAATTTCACTTTCTTTTTTTTTTTTCCTTTTTTTTTGTTCTTCACCATCAAATTTTGAGATTCTGCCACTCTAATGGTCAATAAAAAGAACATACATAAGGTGAAGACACGATTTCATCCTAATTTTTTTCTAAACGAAAATGAGCAATTAGTAATAAGAATACTTGTTCAAGGATAGAGGCCAGTTCATTTGGTTCGAGTGAGCTCATAAAAACCTCATCAAAAATTACAGCTTCTGGACTCTGAAGCCTCCTCAGTTGTGCTCTTGGAATTGGAGGATGCTTCTCCATCTCATAGGGCTTGCAAGACCTTTCATTAATTCTGGCTTCCCTTAGGGCCTTTTGACACCAGAATTGACCACAATCTTATTGCTTGTTCTCAATGGGAAGATTGGGCAAAGGTTCAATGTTTGATTAGGAATGATTAGTGGAGAGTCCCTCGTCTGTTCAGAGATCTGGTCCCTTTCAATGGGACAACAGAGCAGCTCCCTCAACTGAGAAGTGGATCACAGGACTCGGTTGTATGGTCCCTTTCCCCTACTAGAGACTTCCACTTAGCTACTACTTACAGAGCCCTCATTCCTCCTCCTCCTACTCTTTGGCATTCTGTAATATGGTTTCCAAAGCACATTCCAAGGTATTCTTTCATCGCATGGGTTGCTTTATGTCACAGGCTTAAGACAAGGGATAGTCCAGCTCTTGCTAAGAAAATTGCTCCTAATTACTGCTCCCTGTGCCTTGCCGATGCCGAGAGTCACCAACATCTCTTCTTCAAATGTAAATTTGCATATGAGATCTGGATTTTCTTCCAACACCTGTGTGGGATTTATTTTGGAGACTTCAACTTATATGAGATTACAAGTTGGATTGTGTCAATGTGGAAGGATGGTACCAAGGCTCCGGAAGCCTTCGTTTTCAAGTTATGCCTCACAACATCAGTGTATTTTATCTGGAGAGAGAGGAATAGAAGAAATGCCATGAATCAAATGGCTTCCACCGCGTCGGTTACTAAATTAATTTACACTGATGTTAGGAATCGTCTCATGTCTTGCAAGCTGCGGGATTCGAAGGCTGCGAGGTCTATTGCAGTGGCATGGAGTCTCCCAAGCTCAGTGTTCCATGGTGATTAGTGAGGGTTGTTGAGGTAGTTGCTGCTACAACTGGCTGTTTCGTTTCTTGTTGCTATTTCAATAGCTTTTGTTTTTGTTCATGGGCTGGGTTGTTCTGCCCATGCTAGGTTGTTGTTTTTGGTCTTTGGGCCTTTGCCCCTCCTTTGTATAGTTCCCCTTTTTTGTTTTATTGAAATTGACTTACCGAAAAAAAAAAAAAAAAAAAATTACTTGTATGAATTTTATTTTATTATTTTTTTTTTCCGATTAACATATTTTAACAATATTTTCCCCTTATGACCAAAAGCAAAAAAATAATAAGTGATCTAATTGAAAATATAGAACTCATTAAACGAGAAGACAAAACTTCTATTAGCTTGACATGTCAAGCAAAGCTCCCGAGTGACAGCGACACAAAAACCATTAAAATATGCCAAATCAATTGTTTCAAATTCACCCCTATAGAATTGCACCACCATTTTGCTTAAAATCCATCGTACACACAAAGTTCAAGCCCAAATATTCTAGGAACGAAATTGCAAATGAGCATTTAATTTTTTAATTTTCAGAAAATGATATAATTATTTGTAGGCAATTCATGTATAACCTTAAGGGTTAGCTCAAATGGATAATTCACTTGTCCGGTGTAAAGTTCGACTCATCTTAGTTACAAATAATTTTTTGAAGGGTGTGATTTCAAAAGTTTGATCTTGAACAGGTTGTGTTAAGCATTTCTTTAAATCTTTGAAATTGAAGAAGGCTTAACTGAATTTTCGATCCAGAACCAATGAAGCTTGATCTCGAATAGTGAATTGAAGGTCGGCAAAAAATGAGAATACTTGCAGCTTGCTTGTTTTTCTTTGTTTTCAAAAATTTCAGTGTGAAAGGATTTCAAAGAAAACAATATGAGTGTGGCATGTTTCATGTGAGTCAAATATTTGGGAGAGCTTCAACAATCTCTCTAGTCTGTCTATGTTTTAAGATATGTTGGGTGCGTAGTCTTTATTTATAAGCCAAGGGTGGAGTGTTAATTTGAAAACTATACCCAATAATTGCTAAATTCTTAGAAATATGAGATATTTGACTCTCCATATTTAAATTTGAATTTGAATTTATCAAACGTTCTCTGAAAAATTTGAACACTCAACTCCATTGAAGACTTTGAATATGGTGATTTCTATCCAAAAATTGGAATGCCAACTTTGCTGATGTGAGATATATTTTATAATTGGTTAATTTCGTTGTCAAAGCAAGTCCGATTGAGTTGTAATTTTTCAGTTCAAAATTCCAAAGATTGAAGATCGGATGCGGATTTGAAGAAGAAAGTCAAAAGTTAAGTGTTCATGATATGCTACACTCTGAGATGACAAGAACAACGCTATAAG